CATCAATAGATATCATTTTAGGCCTCTTGTTTCACCTGGTACATTTTACAGGACTCTAGTACCATCTTAAAATAAGCATGGCTGTCAGTCACCTGGCAGATTATGAGACAAGCATAGGGCTCCCAATCCCCATGTTTGTCTCATTTTGCTTAACAAACTTTATATACTACCATACTTTTTGCTCTATAAGACTCACTTTTTCCCCTCCTAAAAAGGGGAAATGTGTGTGCATCTTATGGAGCGAATGCAGGCTGCGCGGCTATCCCAGAAGCCAGAACAGCAAGAGGGATTGCTGCTTTCACTGCGCAGCGATCCCTCTTGCTGTTCTGGCTTCTGAGATTCAGAATATATTTTTTCTTGTTTTCCTCCTCCAAAAACTAGGTGTGTCTTGTGGTCTGGTGCGTCTTATAGAGCGAAAAATACGGTGCTTACTATGAAAATCTCTGAGTGGTTTACAAAGAAATCTAAATATTCATTAAAAATACCAATAAGAATTTAAAAACAGGTTCAACATAAAAACCTTAAACAAAGCCAGCAAACTTAAAACCACTATGCATAATAAAATTAGATGTGAAAAACAGCATGTTTAAAACTTGCATGCCTGAGTAGGCTTGCTGAAACAAACAAGATTTTAGCAGGCACAAAAAAACAATACAGCACAAAGGCTGTATTGGGGAGTTCCAAAATTTATGTACGGTACTTTCATGTACTTTCCCCCAAGTACATACTTTTTAAGTGTTTTATTTATTTATATGTATTGCATTTATATCTCACATTTTTCTTCAAGGCGGTCTCCCCCTTGTTTAATCCCATCAACCCTGTGAGGTAGGCTCAGCTGAGAGGCACCGATTGGCCCCAGGGCACCCTGTGAATCTCATGGCTGAGAGGAGAATTCGAACCCTGGTCTCCCAGTTCCTAGTCCAATACTCCAACCACTACTCTGCACAGGCTCTCGTGCTGCCACACTGAATGACTGGTTTCTTGCATGTGCGGAGGAATCATAATGCTAATAGAGGGACTGAGAGAACCAATTGATGGGGGAAAATGAGGCGGGGGGGAGCTGTGGCTCATGGGTAGAGCAAGTGCTTTGCATCCAGGTTTGGTATCTCCAGGCAAGGCTGGGAGGATCCCCTGTAAACCACCTGTAGGAAATCTGCAACGTATAGACCAGTGTTTCCCAATCTCGAGTCTCGAGCTTTTTTTGGACTACAAATCCCATCATCCCTGACCACTGGTCCTGCTAGCTAGGGGTTATGGGAGTTGTAGTCCCAAAACAGCTGGAGACCCAAGATTGGGAAACACTGGTATAGACTGAATAAGCCAGCAAAACTATTTTTGATCAGCAGCTCTCACTCACCTGACATCAGACAAGGGACAGGTAAAGTCTTGGCACACATGTAAAGCACACAGCTTAGAGTGCACTGTTGTTCTTTTGCAGCAGAGCTCCAAATACAGTGCTATTTAAACTTTGGTGCAGAATGCATGTCCCATTACTTTCAGCAGGGATGTAATCCACCTACTGTTATGTGACAACAGATGTTTGTACAGATGGCCAGCCCCACCCACTTGTTCCACTTGGACCATAGATGGCTGGTCACTTTTTGACCCAGCCTACCAGCTGAAAGTGGTTACCCAGACCCTGGTGCAAACAATACTGAAGCACATGAATCAATGGGTTAACAGCTTCCTATGTCCCCAGGTCCCCTTCATGGATCACTGCCTTGCCGTGGCGAAGGGGCTTGAATAACTCAGAGAAGCTATGAGCTATGCCGCGCTGGGCCACCCAAGATGTATAGGTCATAGTGGAGAGTTTTGACCAAATGTGATCCACCTGGCAGAGCAGAGACATCACCTTGCCAACAAAGGTCCATATAGTTAAAGCTATGGTTTTCCCAGTAGTGATGTATGGAAGTGAGAGCTGGACCATAAAGAAGGCTGATCGCCGAAGAATTGATGCTTTTGAATTATGGTGTTGGAGGAGACTCTTGACGGTCCCTGGACTGCAAGAAGATCAAACCTCTCCATTCTTAAGGAAATCAGCCCTGAGTGCTCACTGGAAGGACAGATCATGAAGCTGAGGCTCCAATACTTTGGCCACCTCATTAGAAGAGAAGACTCCCTGGAAAAGACCCTGATGTTGGGAAAGATGGAGGGCACAAAGAGAAGGGGACGACAGAGGACGAGATGGTTGGACAGTGTCCTCGAAGCTACCAACATGAGTTTGACCAAACTGCAAGAGGCCTGGAGTGCCTGGCGTGCTCTGGTCCATGGGGTCACAAAGAGTCGGACACGACTAAACGACTAAACAACATGTCCCCAGGTGCTTCTCTCTTCCTTTTCAGGCATCTTTAACCCTTCCGTCTCCCATAGAACCTTGTAAGTAAAGCAGTTTACATCGTAAATATATGCACGGTACCTGAATCTGTAGTCAAGGCTCAACAGAACAGACAAGCACACACCTGGGAGTTGCAACTGAGCAGGGGTGACAACAGGTCTGGCTCTCTGCTTTGGGGGCAGCCACTCCCTGCTATCCTCAGCTTTTTGTTTTTAATGCTGTCCTCCAGGGATGGGGAGCCAATGGCTCACCAACCGTTTTTGGTCTCTCGATTCCCATCAGCTGCAGTCAGAAAGGCCAACATCTGGTAAAGGAGCACAGGCCCCCCATTCCTGATTTATTGTAAAGCTGCTGTGGCGAGAGAGAGTCAGGCAGCGAATGGGAGCACTGACCTGTAGTCTGATTTGGCATGAGCTACTTTCATCTGTTTGTTGTGAGCATTAATCAGGCAGTAGTCAATGCTCACAGTGCCAATACTTGCTTTAGAAGAAGCCGATGTGTACACTTGTAATGTGTGTAAAACTGCTTGTATGAAACATCTCTTGGATACAGTAGTCACACTAGTCCTCCGGGTTTCTTTTTGGCAGCGATCCAAACAGCTGCGAGGAGACCTTCTTCACCTGAGAAATATGCATAACCAACTCCAGCAGAAGCAAAAGCCTCTAGGAAGATTTCGCTTCCTGAATTGCTACCTAATTTTGATAGGGTGCCTGTCAGATACAAAAAGTGATACTTTCATGTTTCTACATGGAAGAGATGTATCCTGTTTTTTTAAAACTACTTTAATGTACAAGTTTGTGCCCTTTTGCTGATCAGACGTGCATGTTCCATTTGTGAATCACACTCGGAAGAAACTGCAGAGGAAGCTTCAACCTGGCTTTGTACGATACGGATTGGCTCACTGCAACCCCCGATAAGTTTTTCAATCTTTTTCCAGCTGATTGTACTTTTTTTTAAATGTGCCAAATGATTTTTTTAAAAAATAAGTGTGTGCTTAATTTTTATTTTTAAGGCAGATTGCCTGCATGGCACGCAGAAGGAGACACAAGAACCAAATCTGCATTGGAATCGCTGATTATAAGATTAACAACATAGCAAAAGTGGGAGGAAATCAAACTCAGCTCCATGTGATAATTCTTTTGAGACTGCTCTTTTTGGAGACTGTTTCTTAGTACTCGCCTGGCACCTTCATTACATATCTTTAGGAGCCAGACAAAAACATTATATCAATCTGTCGCCTTTTCAACTCCGTATGGAAGGTATTGTTTTTGTTTGTTATTATGGTATTTTTTGTGTTTTTATATTGATCTTTGGATGAAGGTTGGTATAGAAATTTAGTCAATACTAATAAATAGTAGAAGTACGACGAGACATTTTCTTATTACTAATGCATACATACACCTGCTTGACCTCTGCACCCATTTTCTAGGGGGAAGAATAAAAATGCAACTTGCGTGACAATGCTATACCTGCCTTGAAGATTAATACTACATTGTGGATATTTTGTGTGTGCAGTCAAGATGCATTTCTAAAATTGAAGTTCAAACACCACAGTGATGTCAACCATGAGAGAAAGGGCTTTCCCTCTCTTGAGCAATGAAGTGAAACTTGGTATTTACTTGTATTAGTTCTAAAGTGAGCCCTTTCCATTTATTTTCACTTAACTACTGGGGCTGCATATAGCAGACCTTGCCCTTTCCCTCATTCAGATTCCAAAGAACTGATAATGAAGGAAGAACACCTATTTGTTGAATCAAAGGAACCCCCCCCCCCAAATAAAGTATTTTAAAAGTAATATTGACCACCAGTACCGCAAGCAGACCCCAAAGAACGACTGATTCAAGTACAGGTTAAGAATATAATTCGTTCTGGAGGTCCATTCTTAACCTGAAGTACCACTTTAGGTAATAGGGCCTTCCGCTGCCATCACACCAGCGCTGTGCGATTTCTGTTCTCATCCTGAAGCAAAGTTCTTAACCCAAGGTACTATTTCTGGGTTAGCGGAGTCTGTAACCTGAAGTATCTGTAACCTGAAGCGTCTGTAACCCGAGGTACCACTATATACGGTATATTTTAAAAAGAAACCCTAGTAAACTTTTGAAAACAACCGAGACTCCTCCCCCCCCCCGCTTGACATCAGTTTTACTACTTCACTTTGCTCCATAAATCCCCCTAAGACACTCCTCAGTAATTTTCTTGCTTTAGTCCTCTTGCAGAATGACCGTTCAGTACTTGGAATTTTGCATGCAACTTGCGTTCAAACAAAAACCACGCAACCACCCTGTAAAATTTTGACTGTCTAGTGTTCAGAAAGTGAAACAAGGACGAGAGTATTTGCAAAAAAAACACCAAGTTGTATTTACATCCACATGTAATAACATATTCCACTAAACTGAAAACACATCATAAATTAAATGACTTGAATTGGTGTCTACAGCCTGACAAACTTAAGGGAGGTTCCACAATTAAAACAAATCAAGATGGTAGGAAATAAATACAACAAATTGATAATTTGTACCAGTATACTCATTGCTATTGCAAAACAAAAAACCAAAAAAACCAGTAGTATCCCATAGTTAATACTGATGGGCAAAACCTACTTTGGAGACCAGGGCTGCAATCTACAAAGCTCTGCTGCTGCAGATCCTCTGTTTTGATAGGGCTTTCATGGCACTCCCGTGTGGAAATGCTTGGGTGTACAGCTGCAATTGAGGGCATCTCTTGTGTTAACATCACAATATATGAGCTGCTTTGTTTTGTGCTGCAAAAGGAGCATTGGAAACCCCAGGCCATTGGGAAAGGGTCCACCAGTGTCTCCCCTTCCAGAAACCAACCCAGCAAGTGCAGGACTTATGATATTATTTCTGCAGGGAAGGAAGAAGCTTGCGCTGGAGCAGCTCCAGTGACATAATAAAGGTAACACGAGAGAGATGTCCCGAATCAAATTTGAAAGCGTTCTTCGTTCTCTTCCATACTGAAAAGAGACTGAGAGTTTTAGAAAAACTGCACCAAAATGAAGAGGAAGATTCTTTTAAAAACATACAAACTATAGTTAAACATAGCCCTGGTCTTTTATATTTTAAGATTTATTACTTGAAAAAAAGGATACAGACAAGTTATTTTACACATCCTATAAGACTCGTTGAAGGGTAAGGCAAAAATAGAATAACCATCTTCCACGCAAATTTATCTTCAAAAAATAGGCTATAAAAGTGCAAAACTAGGAAAACAAATCTAGATTTTATGTACATATGGCTCAGCTTATGAACAGGAAAATGGTAAATTGTGTACAATTTCCTGATACACAGCACTTCATTACATTGCCAGTTTTACAGAGACATCAAAATTACATATCCCTTAATACACAGGAAGTAAGAAATTAATTTAAAATGTCTCAATGTTGCATATGGGGTTGTGGGGTAATCACCAAGAAAGTCTGTGTTCTGCTGTTTTACATCTGATAAGAAACACACAAATCAACAGTGCAAAAATTATTTTTGAAACCATTTGTTTCCTGGAAATGTTTGACATCCAAACCCAAAGAAAAGAATGAGTCATTAAAGGCTTCACATGCTGTATCATCAATATGCACAGCACCATGGCTGGTAACAAGACGGCTCTTCCATTCATTATTGTCATGTGCAATGGAAAAAATATTGGGTTCACACACACAAAAAACCCCCAACAGTTCCTTGACAAGGCTATCAAACCAACTTGGGGCTGCACTGCATGCACAGCACACAGTTCCAAATGTAAAGGAGTGGGTCCCTAAGTAAAGCCACCACCATTCCTCTTTGCTTTGGTGAATATAGCCCTGGGCACAATGAAATGTGCAGGCCATTGCCTTCAACATGGGAAGGCCCACAGTTGCCCCATATACACAGATCTGTGGAGGAGTGGGGTGAGGTGGGAGGGGGAGGCGAGACAGGCCTTCAGTTGAAAGTAATGGCAGTGCACATGACATTATATTCTGGCCCAAAATGGACAGGAATGTTGGGGTGGGGGTGGGGTGGGGAGTGGAATAGGACTTCATAGTACCATGTGGAAATCTTTTCCCATGCATACAGCTACATGAATGGGTGGGTCATGTCCTTGCTTTGGTTGCTGGACAAACAAGGAGTACTATATTTGCAAATATAAAGTTTTGTAACTGGTACAAGAAGTTGCATCAGGGTTCAACAGGAATGCTGTTTTCTGCTTCAGGCATATGTACAAAATATTTTTAAAGCTATGCATTTTTGCAATATGATCCATTTGTGGAGTCAAAACTGAGTATTTAGGAGGAAGAGGGGTAAACTGAATCTCTCTCATGCAAGCACATGTCCCTCTTCAGTAATAGCTTGGAGGCCAAAAAGCATTTTATCTGAATTGTGACTGCATGCCAAGGATTATGAGACGTGTTACTCCCTATTGATAGAAAATAAAGTACACGGTTTCTTTGAAAAGATTGTGGTACTTGTGTTAATGTTTTTGCCTTATTCCAGCTGGTATTTAAACTGCATCAGATGAAAACGAAAGTATGTTGTTCATTTGGAAACGTTTTCAAAAATGTACATAGGTTAAAGCACAAAACAAAATTTGACAAACTACTACCCTTATACAAAAATAATCCCAGTATTTAAACCAGACACACTCAATGCACAGATTTACCTGAGGTGCAAGGGTTACACACAGCTTCTAAATTGGATCTCTTTTCAGCAGCACTCAAGTATGCAAAAATATACTTTATATTGAATATTTGGTCAATGATAATTCTGAGAAAAAATATTATTCAAGATCAGGAACAGATGCATTTGCCAGTTCTTTGCAAGCTAGTCTTGAGAAGACAGTGTTTAGGTCCACAATGTACAAATGGGGTCAGACCTTCCATTACAGAACTGTAGTGTTTCTCTCTATACAACAGTACAATCACAGCTTTGTTTGGTAGCTTTCATCATTCATTATTCTCAAGAGATGAACTGCAAGGGAAATCAAAATTTGCATCTTCATACCTGGAACACACAAACAAAAAGGGTTCTATGGCAATGACTCACAACAGATACAAAAAAAGCAGCATAGTGGGGCTGGAAACTTCAGAAATAATACTACTTAGAAGTGATTACACATGTAAGAAAAACTGTGTTGAACTTCAGGCTACAGATTATAAACTCTGGTGCCAGAACATGGAAAATAGCACACACACCCCTTGACAAATTCTCCCCAATTACATAAAGGAATGCTTGATCAGCGACACATTGCCATTGTGTTACCCATTTCCCCTCAATCTTGCCTTACAAGAGTTATATTTTAGTTTTAGTGTACTACCAAGGACCTGAATGTTCCCGTTAAATGGCCTTAACCACATATCCTCTTGTAAACAAGTCAAACCGGGGGGGGGGAGGGGTCAAGCAAGGTAAATGAAGGGGACACACTTAGAAAACCAAGTAAGAAAACATTTCCAGGAAGGTGAAGAGGGGACTCTTCAGGTGAATCATACACTATTTGAGATATGTCAACACACTAACATTGTTACTTTAAAAAGTGTTGATACTTAAACTGTTAGGGGCAGCAATATAGGACAACCCTGACCGCTGGAATATCAAAGCTACTGGGCCAAAGCCATTCATTCAATAAGCCCAGTAAGAGTGCTTGGTAACTCAGACTCATATTTACCGTATTTTTCGCCCTATAGGACGCACTTTTTCCCCTCCAAAAATGAAGGGGAAATGTGTGTGCGTCCTATGGGGCGAATGCAGGTTTCGCTGAAGCCTGGAAAGCGAGAGGGGTCGGTGCGCACTGACCCCTCTCGCTCTCCAGGCTTCAGGAGCTCTGCGCAACCCTCGGGAGACCGGCTCCGAGGGTTGCGCAGAGCTGCCTGCAGTCCCGGGCTCAGCGCAGCCCTGCGCGGCCACCGGGAGCCGGGCGCAAGTCCCGCCCCGCTCCCGATGGCCGCGCAGAGCTGCCTGCAGTCCCGGCTCAGCGCAGCTCTGCGTGGCCACCGGGAGCCGGGCGCGAGTCCCGCCCCGCTCCCGATGGCCGTGCAGAGCTGCCTGCAGTCCCGGCTCAGCGCAGCTCTGCGTGGCCACCGGGAGCCGGGCGCGAAGTCCCGCCCCGCCCCGGATGGCCGCGCAGAGCTGCCTGCAGTCCCGGGATCAGCGCAGCTCTGCGCGGCCATCGGGAGCAGGGCGCGAAGTCCCGCCCCGCTCCGGATGGCCGCGCAGAGCTGCCTGCAGTCCCGGGATCAGCGCAGCTCTGCGCAGCCACCGGGAGCCGGGCGCTAAGTCCCGCCCCGCTCCGGATGGCCGCGCAGAGCTGCCTGCAGTCCCGGGATCAGCGCAGCTCTGCGCGGCCACCGGGAGCCGGGTGCGAAGTCCCGCCCCACTCCGGATGGCCGCGCAGAACTGCCTGCAGTCCCAGGATCAGCGCACCTCTGCGCGGCCATCGGGAGTGGGGCGCAAAGTCCCGCCCCGCTCCGGATGGCCGCGCAGAGCTGCCTGCAGTCCCGGGATCAGCGCACCTCCGCGCGGCCATCGGGAGCGGGGCGCGAAGTCCCGCCCCGCTCCGGATGGCCGCGCAGAGCTGCCTGCAGTCCCAGGATGAGCGCACTTCTCCCCATCGCCAGCCCCACAAACTCGGGGGACAGCGGGGAGGCAGAGCGCACCTTCCCGCTGTTCCCCGACCTACTTCTTCCAGCCCCGCACCTGGGGGGGGGGGAATTTTTCTTTATTTCCCCCCCAAAAAACTAGGTGCGTCCTATGGGCCGGAGCGTCCTATGGAGCGCAAAATACGGTACATAACAGAGCAAATCCTCTCACACAGCACCCTTTTCTCCTTAAAATGGAGAAAACCACACAGCTTAGGGCTGCACCCTAGTTTCTCAGACAGACAGGCAGCAGGACCACAGAACAGAGAATATTTAAACTGAATAGTCCTGGGTAGCCATCTCAGTTACGAAAGATGAGCATAAGCAAATCAAAGCATTATTTTAGATACCATGAGATCAGGAATACACCAGTGCCATTCAATAAAGATTCTGTCCTTCGCATAAAGAAGCAAAGCTCTTAAAACTCACCGAAACTAAACTACAACAGGATGGCACAACATATAATGAGCTGAACCTCACAAGCATGCTGAACAGTAACTCCTTTTTAGTTGTATCTCATGGTATTTTTACATTTTGACCACTGACAAGCACATAATGCCCACTTTTTGTTCTGGGATAAGAGGGTCTGCAACAATGAATTCTCATTACTTTTTTGTGTTCCTCCTGCCAATATGTGAATTGTGGGGAGGGGGGAAGATCCTTATTCCCGAGGTTAATTTTTTTTAATAAAAAAAGTTGTTTACCATTCATTGTAGCAAAATCATGTTCTCTTGTCATTCAGTCGATTATGTGTATTACCAATAAGCCTCTCGTAACCTCTTTTCTGCAGCATGGTGCTAGACAAGTGTTGATACGACACTGGCCTTTTTCCTAATTAAAAAAAAAAAAACCCAGCACATTAGAAGACATTACCAGTAAGGCCAGAAATAGCCACAAAACTAATTTCAAGAACTTAGTGAAATAACCATGGCATTCTTCCTCTGCCCTTGCTCAAATGAATAACTTGTCTATAAACACACTTTTACATTTTGATCGTTTTCATGAACTCAGCAAAATGCTGGAAGAATTACTTCAGACAATGATAATGATCTGCATACCTCAACGAAACACAATGGTCAGGACCCAATGAACCATGAAACTTTTTGCACAAGCTCAAGGCGGGGTGTGTGTGTGTGTGTGCTATACAGTAGCTTTCCCCTCAAAACAGCACCAACTGCTTTTGAAACCAAAACCAGTTTGTAGCATGACATGAATCCAATTGTTTTAAAGCTGGGTGGGAGGTGCAAAAAAATGTTACAAGACTAGCACAAGTTCCTTGCACAAGTTCCTTCCTAGCTCCCATTTTATGCACTGTTACCAATTTGTTTCCACAAGACAATTGACTTGCTAGTTTTATACCCAAATTTGGGGGGGACGGGACTTGTGCTGGAATAATAACCACGTGAATGCAGCTTTATTGCAAAACAAGGCAGCGAGTTTGTAGAACTGTGGGTTCAAATCATCTAGCGAAAACCCTGGCCTGAGGCAGCAAAGCACTTTAGCCGCTGCTTGTCCCAACTCTTAGCATACATAATTTCCTGAAGTATTCAAAACAAATAATCCGATTGAGACCACTCTGGAAAATAGGAATACAGAAGCTGCACAAGAGGGATCTGAACACATGGAGAAAGCCTCATCACCATTACAGCCATGAAAATGTAGGTGCAGGCACTTCCCACATGCTTTCTTTATTCTTACTTCACTGCAGGCAAGGGCGAATAGCAACTATATCACTAATGTAATTCAGGAACTGCTCCTGTGACAAACAACCACAGTAAGTCCATACCATCCCAGAGATAAAGCTACATGAGCCACTACCATACTACTGCTTCATGTGGTGTATTAGTCACATGATTCAGGCAAGTGCTGAATCAGCACACGGCATGGCTGGAAAAATCCCAGGGGTCCTGTAGCTGTTGATGGCACCCCCTTCCCTTTTTTAATTTAGGTGGGGGGACCTGTGAAGGGCCCAGCAGCTCCAGTGCCGCCATCTTCACTAAACCCAATGCCCTACCCAAATGTGTAATCCCTCTGCAATTTCAGTTTGCAGCTCTGAAGCATTCTAGGGAAATGAAATCTGCAGCTGCAGCCACCTGACCGAACCTAGTGCTTCCCTGTGCTGAGGAACCTGGAGCTCCGCTACTTTCAGTACTGCATGGCCCCCAACTGCTGTCTGTTCCCACTTGTGCCTGTTGCTGCTCCCCTTGCACCTGGAAAACTATTATTTCAGGAGGGGCAACAAGGCAGCATTTTAGTGAGAGTACTTTGACCCAGGTACTCTCAAGCGTTGTGCTGGCCCTGGATCTAAGTCCAGGTTGCACATCTTGTGCTGATGCTTTTTTCTCTGAGCGGGCATACATATACAGGCAGTGACCATTTTATGTGGGGGTTCCATTCCTGGCTCCCAAGTGTGCATAAGCCCATCCTGTTCTGCCCTCGTTCTGGATTGAAACAACCCATACGTCACTGGTCACATGTCAACTGGACATGCACAAAATGGTCACCACCTGAAGCTAAAGACTCAGGCCAGCAGGTGTGGTCACCAGCTATACCCATGAATTTGGCATGTCTGTAGCCTTCTCCAACATGGCATAGGGCATAACTCTTCTTTCTAGCTTTAAGAAGTTACTGACAAAGTTTAGAAAAGGAGGCAGGGAGTCCCACACCTAGCCTCCCCCAACCCACCCAGTGCTGTGTAACAAAGAGCAGGAACTAGGGCTCTGTTCTCCCTCCCTTATTTTTTTATTAATTGTTCTTTTTTCCTGCCCTGCCCTTCCTCCCAAAAGAGACCCAGGGTGGCTGACATAAAAACTACATGCACAACAGCTTCTGCAAAACAGAAATTATGCAGCTTGAAGGCAGCTGCTCTTAGCAACATGCTGTGTGAAAACATAGTGTGGTGCCAAATCCCTGTCTTCTGGTAATGTAAGCCCTTGGGGAAGTAAAGGAGGAGGTAAGTGATCACTCTCATTTCTTAAAAAAAGAAATTATTACTGGCGATTGGTCAGAAAAAGAAAAACAGAGTGACCTATTTTACAATGTCTGGATGGGAAATTTTTGGGTTCACAGTAGAAGCCACGCGTTGATCTCCTTTGGGGAAGAAGTCAAAATATCCCACAGAGATATCCAAGTTTTTACCATAGTTGTGATTGGGCGCCACTTTGTAGCAGCAAGTAAATATATGTCTGCTATCCTATTTCCCCCCAGATACATTTAATAAGCCCAGGATTAATGAGACAACAGCAATCACATCCAAGTTCTTAAATACACACTGAGGATTAGATAAATGGCTGGTAAATTCTAGTTTTTGTGAGCAGTGCAGTCACTTAAAACATGATAATTTGATTCAGCAAGCAGAAAGCATTAGTTTGTTTTTAAAGTGCTGAAACACAGTGTGAATACCTTCTTTTGAAGAGCTGGGGACTTGACTGCTACTTGATCCACAGGAACTGTAATATGGCCCAGGACCATATGTTTCGTATGGCTTCAGAATAGTCACTGGATTTATAGCATCTACTTCAGAGCTCATGAGCCCTTGTTTGGCTGGGAGGAAAGAGGCAGCAGGTTTGGTGTGTGAATATTCCTGAGGTAGCAGACCTGCATATCTGCCTGCAATATGTAATCTGCCAGCATCGTTCCCTCTCCGATACAGCATAGGGTCAATCTGTTCTGGTGCCAAAAGATTAGACCTTGCTCTTTTAGAAGGCAGTCCATCAAATTCCAAGTTTATATTCCCTGCAGGTCTGTTACTGAGAAACTCTATTCCTCGATTGCTTGACCAAGCAGATTCGTTCAACGGAGTCTCAAGAGAGCCATTTATGTTGCTACTTGCTATGCCTAATTGAGAAGCCAAAACTCTTGCTTTAGGATCCAGCTTTTTCCCTCTATCCTGTACAGGAGTGCTACTGGGGCTGTTGTGGGTTTCATGCTGTGGTCTAGAGCTAGTAATCTGACCTCCAATCACTTGCAGTTTGCATGATTTCAAGTTACTTGGTGCCGAGCTGCTAGAGTTCAATGCTGAAAAAATGGGTGCTTTGCTCCGTAGAGTGGGACAATGTTTAGCCTTCTCCACATGCGGGGATTTTGACTGGGTAGGCAAGGAAGACTTGATTTTCCCAGGGTTAAGAGGCAGAGGGTGCACATCCTTTCCCAGAAGATAAGGTGGGCATCCAGTACGTCTGGCTTTAAGAGCTGCCCTATTTCTGATGCTATTTTTATTAGCAGCGTTGGAATTATTGGGGGGCTTATGCATCAATCGCCGGTGCATTATTAGAACCTCTGGATATAGTGTTCGGTAAGTACAAAAGGAGCAGGTGCTGGTTGCTAAGGAGCACTGAGAGGCAGCAGTTACTGAAGCATCCAGAGAACAGCCAGTAGACAAATTTAAGGGCTTTTCTTGAGCTATTAGTCTGCATTTCGAGTTTTCTGAAATGTCGCTTAGAAGAGCCGTATTTGTTTCACTTTTCACAGCACCAGAATAAAGCACACTTTCTGGCAAAACATAATTCCTTTTCTCAGACCTATCAACGTGCTTGTTTTCCTGAAGCTCTATTTCAATTTTTTCCAACTTTAAGTTTTCAAGGCATGGAACTGATGCACCATCATTTGAGCCACCATAGTTTGTACCTTTATTTGTGTCCTGAGTGATATTGTTCAGTGCAGTCTGAAAAGAGGAAAGCATTTCTTTCTGCTGTTTTACAGGTGGGCCTCCTTTAGCATCTTTGGCATCTTCCAGGAGCCTTTTCAGATTTTTGGTTTCCGGAACACAATTGCCGACTGGCAAAAAGCCCATCTCCTGAGAAGATAGCAAACCTTTACTGTCAATTTTCACATCTGCTGCAGCTTCTGTTTGCTTGTCCTTGTGGTGTCTCTCCAAGTGATATCGCAAAGATGTTTTCTGGGCTGCTGCATACTCACAAAATTCACATTTGTATGGTTTTTCACCTGAAAGAGTTGCAAACGAGAAGTCAGAGCTATTACCATTTCCCTCTGCTAAAAGAACACAAGAAGGGAATCTGTGCTATCCTTTCCCATCTCCACTAAATATGCTGGGAAATCAATATTTTGCCAAAATCTAACACTGGAGCTTCACTAAGTACGAATATCTCTTTGATTTAGAGGAAGTTTTAGCTGCTTTAGTTTAGATGACCATTTTGCTAAACACATGACAAAAGTAAGGATAAACAACAAAGCATATAGCCAAAGTGATAATCCTCCCTATAGTTGCATACATTTTCAAGAGGTCAGCATCACTGTGTGAGTCTCTTGGTTAGCCAGGATTGAGCCATGTAGCCGTAAGCAACTGAAGCTGAACACTAAGGAGTGCCATCACATCCTTCTGGAATAGCATAACGCATGTCAAGGACCTTTACCACACTCCCCCACCCTCAAGCAAGTGGCAAAACAACTTGAGAATTTCCACGTCCTTCTACAAGCTAAATCTCTGAGGTGGGCTCTGAGCCATCAATGTTGATGAAGATGCTTACATTCCTGGAGTCAATATGGAAGTGTAACAGCCTCTCCTCCCAACACACATATAGCTTCTAGCACTGAACATCACAGTTCTCTGGAGTTCACTGAACACCACATACTATGGAAAGAGACTAAAACCTTAAAAGGCAAGCAGCAGTGCTCTCTTATTTGTAAATCCCTCAATTTTCAATATCCTTTCCAGTTGGCTCACAATTCTGGACATTTGGAGTTAATAGCATAGCTCTTAACCACCTCATCTGTCTAGAGGTCACAGCTAGGGGCTACTGTATTTCCTCAGCATGCAGTAAGCTGATTCTGGGAAGTGTATCAAACACCAAAGCTGGAATTATCCTAATCATGAAATTTCCTTCAGTTCAGGCACCAACCATTGTGAAGAGAGTTTAATTCATTTTACCTGTGTGAGTTCTGAGATGAATATTGAGGTAATAGTTTGAGCGGAAATACTTCCCACAATAGCTGCATTCTCTAGAGGCGCCAAGGTTTTTAACTTTTGCCCTTTCTATGCCATCTTCGTTCTTATCTTTGGAAAGAGGAAAAAAAGAAAAAAACACAAACAAACCATGTTATAAAAGTGAATACAGTGGTACCTCGGTTTTCGAACAGCTTAGTTCCCGAACAACTTGGAAATTGAACACTACAAACCTGGAAGTCAGTGTTCCAGTTTGCGAACTTTGCTTTGGAAGCCGAATGTGCTCCTGAGCTTCCATTTGTACTGTTGTGCTGCTAATTTGCGCCCCTCCCATCATAATTAAAGCTTCCCTGCCTTCTGTTTGTACTGTTGCGCTGCTTATTTTCGTTGTGTCCCCCCCCCCCCCATTGTAACTGAAGCCTTCCATTTCCAATTGGAGTTCGGAGGTGATATTTGGTGCTTTTGTTTTTGCTTTCTTTTGCATTTTTGTTTGTGTGGCTTGTTCTTACTTTTATGGGACTTTGACTTGTGACTTCATTTTTGTGACTTGTTTTTTCTGACTGGAACCCAGTTCAGCAACTGATTGATTGTGTGACTGTGGAAATGGATAAAAGTCCCCCCTCCAAACAATGACTATCATCAGTGCAGGCAAGGGGAAAAAATAATTTTAATTTTTATCATCTACAATACTGTCTTGTTTATTTTATAGTACAGTGCACTGATTATTGCTTTCATTTTATGGATCCATTTTATGGATCAATGGTCTTGTTAGATAGTAAAAATGCTGTTTTAGGGGTTGTTTTTAAAAGTCCGTGTTGCATTACTTCCTATGGGAAAACGTGCCTTGGTTTTGGAATGCTTTGGTTTTGGAAAGGACTTCTGGAACGGATTAAGTTTGGGAACCAAGGTACCACTGTACTGGATCCAAGCATGTTCGGCATCTATAATGACAACAGCATGTGTTAATGTGGCTACCACCACTAGACACATATGCAGTATGAGCCATGCATCTCCTACCCCTACTGCTCCTTTTCCTTTACTACCATGCAGTGTATTAACACACTATCAGCATCAACATCACTATCAATCGGCCTATGCACCGTATTCTAACAAAATTAACTCTGAGTTAATTTTGAGTTTGTAAACCCCATGAGAACACAGATTATTTCCCTTGAGGTCTCCTAAGTTTCAAGCAATTTCCACCAGACGGGGCTTCCGAGTGGGCACCTGAGAATGGAGAACGATACCAACAAGGGGGTGGGGGCTGATGTTTTGAGTGGTTTTTAGTTTTAACTTTTGACACAGCTTTAACTCAAGTCTATAGGTGGCCCAACTATTCTTCTTAATCCCCAAATGACCTGATGCTATGTTGTGTTGGGGCCATTTTAAAGGGGGGAAACAGCAGGAGTCACCAGAATGGAGATTAAATATGTTTGTTTGGGAGTTTTGTTGGCCATTTAACACACACACACACTTCGGCTGAGTTATTGAGCATGCAACAGCAACACGTATGGTTGCTGTATCCCAGCCCCACCCCAAACTAGAAATAATGTTAAGTGGCATGGTGTATGTGGGCATAATGAGTTTATTAGACTTGCATTGCTAGTTCAACAATAGATGTACTGGAAAAACAAAATGTAAAGTTAGACTTCCAAGAGGAACAAACCCAAAGTGCACTGCACAAGTTGAAACAAATCTACCAAATCTGTGGGGTACAAATATTATTATTTATTATTATTACTGAATGTACAGTATTAAACCCAACCCTACGGGAAGTATTTTAGTTCAACAGTAAACAGAATTTTGTTCAAATATTGTAACGCTAGTGTGGGACACCTTCATAGTTCATTTGCTTGTATAAGTCTTTCATAGTACTGGAACAGAAGAATTTCTCTTTTATAAAAATTAATTGTTTTGAGTTAAAAAAAAATGTTCACCCTAACAAGTGCCTGGTTTTCTGTAATACATTTAAAGGAGGGAAATCTTTTGTTATCTGTTCATCACAGCAGGTTCCAGTTCTTCATTTGATAGTCATGTAAACAGTTTTTTCTCTCCCTCCCTCTAGCTCCTACATGCAACTCCCAAGAAATAACACTAGAGGGCAGCAAGCACAGTATTATAATCAACAAAGGGCGTTTCAGGTTCTTTCTAATGCCATTGCTTGGAGGTGCAATTTCATTTACGGCTGCAGAATGGTGGTGCACACAGAAAACATGGACAGGAAATGCACCTAGTCATCTCATAAAATAACAGTAATTTTTATCTTCTCAAAATTTTTATATTTTAACAATTAATGCACTAGCAACTATGCACTAATGATACCACAACCTAAATGATCATGAATATATACAAACATGTCCCTATAGTGCTTGGAGCTCAGTACCAGTTGGCAAAGAATTGAGAAACAACGAAGTTTCTCCAGGTTTTATGGCAAAGAAACAAAAGTCATTCAGCCATCAACAGAATGGCCAGTGCTCCATTATACTAACCTGAACTACAGGTCTGCACATTGCTAGAAAGGGCAAGATGCAGTCATGTGTACATGGAACATGCTGTACAAAGGATTACGCAAGCATCCTTCCCTTAAGTACACTTACAAGAAAGGAATTATGCCATGACTTTAAAGCAGCAAAATGCTGAGTACCTGCACCTAGGAAGAAGGGTGTTAATATAGCATTACTAGCAAAAATCTCTGTCAGTAACTTAAAAAAAAATAAAATCAATGTGGTTTAGATAATGTATACGTGAACAAAACAAGTGAGCTAAAAAGGAATCACAACTTCTTAGTAGCTCTTACCTAAGGTCTCTATTAGTCCATCCTCTGATCCATCTTCAGAGCCTCCTTCCCCTCGTTCTCCTACTCCATTCTCATCCACAGTCCCGACATCTGTAAGGCATGCTCTTGGCTGCTTTCCGTCAACAGAGCTGGCTTCTAAATCATTCTTTCGGTCTCTCTTATGTACTCTTGAGTGAAGGACAAGCTGGTGGTAAGTTCGAAAGGCTTTGCCACACTCTGAACAATGTGTGGGCTTGTCTTTGTTCTGGGACAATTTTGAATCCATCTCCATAGAAGGCACTTCACGGCCAGGATATTTGAATTTGTCTTGTGGTATATTACCAATCGCTGTGAAACTTCCACTTTTGCTTGCCTTGATCTTCCCCGTGCTTTCAATTTGGCTTGCTTTGTTTGCATTCCAAATTTCCCCAAGCTCTTCTTTATCAGAAGAGGAGTCATCATTGTCTGTACTTCCTTCATGCCCTGGCTCTTTCACTTGCCCATGGCCAGTAGCAATTTTTCCTTTGGTAGCCAGTTGCCATGCCTGATACGTACTGAACGGATCCAACTCTGCTATCCATTTCACAGGCTTTTCTTGCTTTTTATTGCTAAGAGGCATACGTGGTTTTAAGTTTAAAAACTGCAAAAACTCTTCCCTGGGCGATCCATTTCCTTTATCATCTGGATCAGCTTGTGAGCCATCATCACTGGCTCCTGAATCTTTGGTATGTACTTTACTGTGCTCAATTAAACTTTCCTTATTCTGAAATAGGAAGCCACAAACCATGCAGATTTTGTAAGGTGATGTAATACTTTCAGTTACTTGGTCCTGTACAACCTCATTTATGGTTATAGGACTCTCTGATCCTTGAGGTGTCTTGCTTCTACAACCAGGCTTACCAGTATGTGTTCTCATGTGATTTTTGAGGAACCATGGCTCCTTAAATCTCCTCCCACAAACACTGCACCAGTAAGTGAAAGAGTCCTTGTGCTTTCTCATGTGGGCCTCAACATCATACGCCTCCTCAAATGTTTGTCCACAAACCACGCAACTGAAATCTTGGCTATCCTTTTCATTGGCATCTGAGGGTGGCAAGTCTGTTTTCACTTGTCCTTTATCAAGATGGCTAAGGTATTCCGCTTCTACACGCAGAACTGCTGGTTCGCAGAGTGTTGGCCTGTGCTGCATTAAGACATGCTTACCAAGGTCTTCTGGATGCTTGAAAGTCTGATCACAAAACATGCAATCCAAAGGCATGCATCCTTCCCCTTGCATTAAGAACTTGTCTTGCAAGTTCTTGTACGAGATTGTGTTGGCCCCTTTTATTGGCATAGTGGCATCATTGTTCTCCATACGTGAACCAACAGTACTTGCTATGCCATCTGGTCCATCCATATATGCTAAAAGAGGTTGAGTAGGCATATTCCTTTGAAGATGTTAACATGGATTCTAGGCTTTTTTGCGTTGGAGATTAAGGCCACTTCAGTGGCTTCCCACCTGTTTACTCACAAATGTCCAAGCCCAGAGGAGCATCAAGAGAAGTTTGTTGAATGTTTTTGCTCATCGGTAGGGGTAGAGATCCTCACGCAATACAAACTATTTATAAAAGTGTCCCATCAGTTCTCCAATGAAGGTACTGGATTGTTTATGCTCTCTGTGAAGCCTTTTCAGTTCATTTAAACTTCAAAGAAACTAGCCTGCATATATCTCCACATGTAAAAAATTCTGGTCTTCTTAAGCCCAAAGAAATATGGAAATGGTTTAGCAGCACCAAGAAATTCACCACCTATGGAGAGAAGATTTAACACACAAACATTAACTAAGGAAACATGGATATAATAAAATACTTTTGTTTAAAAACAAGAGATTAAACTAGTATATTTTATATGATTTATTCATGTTTTATACTGCTACCAATATTCAGATTAAGTAATAAACTACTCCCTTAAGTCACCATAGATAACCAGGAATGTCAGGGAGGAAAATGTATGGAATTCGATAAAAAAAAATTACAGCTTAGAGGAAAATATGTGTATTACTATGCTTCTATGCTGGAGAAAGTGAAGGTCATTTCTCTCCACGCAGCATAGAAATGCAGCAGGGCTTACGGAAAAGGGACAGAGTGAAGCATTTCTCCTTGTCCAGTCTACTGCATTTATGAGCTGGCAAAAAAGGAGGCAAAGCCCTTTCTCTGCGACTAGCACAGAAATCAAGCAGGAAGGCAGAGGAGCAGGAAACACTTAATGCCTCCTCAGCCAGACTGTTGCATTTCACGGCTTTTTACTAGCCTGATTTTTATTCATAAGAGAGGTTGACCATCTATCTATCCTACCAAGCTCCTCTTGCGGAGTTCAAAGTGGGCAGGTATTTCTTTTGTCTTATTTTTTGGCATGCTAGTGGCTTTTTATGGCTAATATTTAAGGCTGTCTTATAAAAAGTGACTTCTCCCTTTTAAAATTATTGCAAAACACACACATTTAGTCCAAACAACATTATTCTTCCTAGAATTCATTTAAAAACTGCAACTACAGCTAACAGTTTGCCCAGGCAAGTCTAAAAAACAATTCTGCGTATTCCACAATTAAGTAAGTATAACACAGCTATTGAATTCAGATTTCAATACATAGTTATCTTTAAAATGATGCAACTGTCAAAGGAAGTTACTAATTTCTGCGAGGAACCTGCCCTAGGGAGTTACTGTTAATACTCACATCATGCTTTTATATTCATATGGAGGAAGCTGCTTCAGTGAAAGAAGTCTGGTCAGGATTGTTACTAAAGTTCTTTCGCCTCCAAAATCCTAAATCTACATTTCCATTCTGGCTGAAAAAGTCAGGTGAAGCAGAATTACATTCCACTGTATTGCATCCAAACAATTTGGATTGTTTTATACAAGCCCTCACCTTGCAAAAATGGTTGAACTTTTAATATTAATTTAAAGTGTGAGTAAAGTTCTTATTCATGACTATATGCAACATCTGCTGTGGATAGTGCCCATCTGGCAGCCATTTTGAAGCTACACTGTCTGCTGCTACTTCAGCAGGCAGCCAACTCAGCAAATGGAGTTCCTACCCTTTGGATTACTTAACAGCACCATCAGCAGCAGACCTACCAGATAAGAGATTAAGACTACGTTAGCCCTAAAATAAAACTCTTCTGAGCAGCTGCATTTTGGTGATCCATTCTAAGCAATAACATGTTTAAATCTCAATTGAGAAGCAAATAGAATAAAAAATTATTCTAATTTCATTGGTCCAGTAGACCTGGTAATTCAGCTTTCAAGGCACACTTATTTCTGATTTAAAAAAAGAAAAGAAAAGAAAGCTCAACAAGTTGTACAGGGCTGCATTTTGGCAGAAATAAAACGGCATTTCAAAGTACTTCGGCTTAATTCTTGTCTAAATAACCCTGTAAGATGGGTCAGTATTATTATTGCCATTTAATAATGTATTTAAATATTTATAAACCACTTTTGTATAAAAAAGGGGGTGTATACCACACAAAGGTTGCAACTATAAAAGCAAATAAAATGGTGAGAGTGGGGGGGCAGAGATTGGAAAGAGTGTCTTCCTGGAGTCCACCTAATGAGTTCATAATGATTGAACAGAAGACTACCAGCTTTTCCCCAAGTCAGTCACCACAATACACCAGCATATGCCGTTTAACAGGGAACAATTTTATCCCTATTTACTAGTATTTATACACGGTTCAGCTTACTATTCCTCTCCAAGATGGGGGGAGGAGTTTTGTGTTACTTTAAAAAGCACCCGCACTCCACAATTGACAGGGGTTGGACTAGATGACCCCCATGGTCCCTTCCAATTCTGTGTTTCATATTCTTTGTAAACCACTTAAAGATGTTATTTACAGTTAAGCAGTATAAAAACTTTGTTAAATGAAGTGTAAGGCCGACACAGGACTGGCGTAGACACCACAATGTGCAACCACACTACACAATGCATTCCCTCCAAGCGTACCAGGCTTATGCCTTCACTCACAATCCAAAACATATTAATAAGAAATGCTACATTTATATAACACATTTCCTCCAAGGAGCTCAAGGCACTTAGTTCTTCCACCCTCACTTCATCCTCACAACAACCCTGTTGGGATAGGAGATTTGACCCAAGTCAAGAGTGAGTTTCATGACTTGACAGGGGATCTGAAACCATGACTCCCAAGTCCTAGTCGAACATTTCTAAGCACACCACCACATCGGTTCTTTTGATTAAACCAAGAGATGTCACTTGTCAATAGCATTATGTCTACCAAGATTGACATGGATTGAGGAATGAAGTTGTAGTCCTGTAACCCCTTGAAGAACCTAGGTTCCCCATGCTTCCATTACATGCTTGATGCCTATTCTAGATGTAATGTCTCTTCGCTTTCAGCTCCATAGATCCCACTGCAGCAAGAATTTATTTGTCAGTACTGTATTAAAAAATGGTAGACACTGCAACCATTTCCAAATCTAAAATGACCTTGCCAAACATGCAGGCACACCACAAATTCCTTGTGGTTTGAAATCCAAATGTTCTAGTTAATACAGAAGCAACACCCTAGGCACCTGGAGTTTCACAACTCATTTCAGTGTCTTCTGAACCCACAACTCATAAATCCTTGATCAGATTTTCCACATGGGGTACTGGATGTAACTCTAGGGTTCAGAAGCTCCATTCTTGCAAACAACACCAAATTGCCACTTCCAAAATTGGCACATGTACACACACTACATTTAGTAAAGTTAAAGGTAGAGGACCCCTGGATGGTTAAGTCCCGTCAAAGGTGACTATGGGTTTGCGGATCATCTCGCTTTCAGGCCAAGGGAACCGGTGTTTGTCCATAGACAGCTTTCCAGGTCATGTGGCCAGCAAGGACTAAACCGCTTCTGGTGTAAACCACTTCATTTTAACACTGAGCAGATGACAAGTCATAAGGGAAGATATGACAAATGAAATGATCAGACAGGAAGCTTTTAGGAGCAGGAACTGAGCTTTTTATGCGGAAATGACACCCAAGCACACCACGGACTGTACTGAAAACTGACCATAGAAAATAAATCAACATGAGAATTTCTTGTAGCTTCAAGATCCAGTGTTCACTTTAAGCACAGTAAACAGGCTTTGGAGAATGACAGAAACCAATGGGAGATGTCAATCTATATTTGGAAACAGAACAGTCTACAATGCAGACTTTATACAAAATAAGGCACAAGACTGTAACTTTTTTTAAAAAAAAAATCTGTGTCCAGAAAACCACAATTAGGACAAATTTGGATCATCTTCTTTCCTCATTTTGTTGAAAATTCACCCATGAAAAGTTACAGAACTTTATTTCTCTAAAGGCAACAGTGCCAAACCACCATCACCATGCAGATAGGTTAAATTGTTCCTTTTTAAAAACTGGAGAATTTGAGTTAACGTATTTAAAACTACAGTATACTGTATGTCTTTCAAGTTAGGAAAGAGTTTGCCTATCACTGGGAATCAAGGCCCACTGAAGTTCACATCACTTCATGATGGGAAGTGGCAGAAGCAGCAAGAGAGATCAGCACTGCATCTTCCTCTCTATAACCTAAATTCCAGTACTGCAGGAGTCTCCAACCCCCACACAAAGGCCTTTGGCACGTATAGGGGAGGGGAAGGGTCTTTCCTTTCACTTTACACCATGCTTTGGAGAACAATAGAAACTAATGCATTCTAGGAAATACACAAGAGAGGGTGGGTGAGCAGATGGAAAGGAATGATGGGGGTATGATGAGTTGCCCATGCAGACATGACATCTGGATTTCTGGACCCACTTAAGCTACCTATGTGAGCTTTTTCTACATTACAGGGTCAGCCTTGGGATCATAGCCCAAACTGAAAAGTTTCCATGCCCAACTCGCTGTATGATGCCCATAAATGTGTGTGTGTGTTTTTTAAAGGTGCTATTCAACTAGCTAGCATGGCTATAGTTTTGAAAAAAGTTTCACTACCCCATTTTCATCATACAATTTTCCTGTGTGCACACAAGGCACAGGATCATGCCTATTCCTGTCAATTAAACTCCTGTGTAATACACATTTGTGCTCATACATAAAATGTAGTATGTATCACATGCAGCTTTAAAAAAAGCAGTTTGAACTGCTCCTTTTTCCTCACAGGGAACCAATCATTCCTAGTGGTTTTCAGACATGTAGCTACAGCAATCCTGTCCAACAGCTAATTCTTGTTTTGTATAGATTTCCCTTGACTTCATAACTAACAGAAACACTTTCATATATTGAATTTATGTCTGTCCTGTGATAACTGCACATTAAATTCATCATGTATTTAAAAAGCTACCAGCAAATCCTAGTAATGAAAAATATCAATATTTTCTTAATTACTTCATCCAACAAGGATAATGGCTGTTTTTTGTTTTGCTTTTTGTTACTTAAGTCCAACAAACATTGGCAGATGTGTGCTATATTTTCTCTCTGTACACCAGTCAACTGACTTTTCTTTGTGAACAATATAATTGTGTTTACAGGCATTACCTTAGAAACCATTCATGTCAGTAGGCCCTTAAATCTTAAGCTAGATGCAAAACTACATTGCTCATATTTCTCCGATAGCTGAACAGCCCTCTGTGTGCTTCTTTTTGTTGAATAACATGAGCCTGAAAGTCCTCTGTGTAATCTCATGTCTACCATTTGTAGGGCAGGGGGAAGGACAGAAAGATCAAAAATACCTTACGAATTTTAAATTCTACTTGACAGTATTCAAATCTATTTTCTCATTCTCTGGTTGTTAAAAATTATACATACAGTATATGAAGATATACCTTTTATTAACATAATTGTCCAATTGCTAGAAGGCTTTTAATATAGGGTATTTTGTGAAAACAGAAGTGAATCTGTGGTACCTTCATAAAACATAACCAATGTATGTTATTACAGACCACTTCTGTTTGAGAGAGTTCTACAGACCAGACTGCATTTCTATAGTGTAGCTTAATTCTGACCTGGCATTGCAGCACTTCCAATTTCCCTGTTTAAGTGTTAAGGGACCTTTACACCACAATGCATCTTGCAAGAATAATAAGCTTTAACAGCAGTTTTACATTTTACTGTTGCTTCAGTTTAATGAGGAAATATGCTTTACCTCTCTATACTCTCTTCACACGACAGCCTTTAAGCCAAACACTCTGTTTCAGCCTTCCAGACCAAGGCCATTTAGTGCAACATCCTGTTCTTATAAAGGCCAACCAGATGACAATGGGAAACCTGCAAGCAGAATCTGAATTCTCCCACTTGTGATTCCTAGCAACAGGTGTTTAGTTGCATACTACCTGCAACAGTGGAGGAAGAACAATGGCATTCTTGTAGGGCTTCACTTTTTCATAAAAAAGGAACAAGGAAGTTGCCTCCTGACCATTTTCCTTCCCTGTTGGCTCCTGAATGAACAGCAAGCAAAGCAGCTGGCTTCAGAAAGCAAAATAGCTGGAACACAACTCCCTTGTGCTTCTCAGTAAGAAAAGATGAGGCTACTTTGGAGTGAGTAGGCAGCAGCCAACACTCCAAGTTCTGGGTGGCTTCTGTACAGGTGCTGACTCACTGAGATGCCACGTGTGAACAGAGCAGGTATCTGTATGAATTCAGATGTTTAATTAAAAGTTCAACTGTGTAGATAAAGAATGTCAGTTGGGAAAACTCATCACATTAGTCCAACACTCAACTCTGCTGTGTATTAAGGCTCTTATTAAACAAACTCCAAGACCAATTAAGAGGCATTTGTAAAAAGGTAGCCAAATTGCAAGGCACAGCACAACAACTTCACACAGCTCATTCAAAATTCTTGGTGTTCCAGACAAAAATGAGACAACAAATGCAAACTGATAATCTATTTTGCACTCTGCATTGGATGAGCACAGACGATCATCTATTCAAATTCCTGTTTAAATTTGAGATGCTACAATTTTTAAAGACCTGATTAGTAATCAGATTGAGTTTCTTCTTATAGAAGAGACACTAAGAATCTTCATATCATCATATAATTTTGTAAGATCTATTTCTGGGTAATGGTATCAGAGAACATTTGAAAAACCACTTGAAGTAGAAGTTTATAAACCAACTGAAAGTTTTCCTTCCATTTTATCAACCTAGTATTTTATATAATAACATACCTAGATTGTAGGTAGGATCCATGATTCAGAGAAGGTATCTTTAAATACACACACATAAAAGGGAGAAGCATTTAAATTGGACTTTGTGTATTACAGCCTACGCTTTATTTATGGAATATATGCTGCCCAATTTTGGAACTATTTAACTCCTGTGTATGCATAGGAAACAAAGTATACTTGATTCAAAAGATTAAAATCAGTAGGACACAAAGCATAACTATTTTGTGAGAAAAAGAACTTCCTACATATTGTTTCAGCTGCAGAAGAGATCAAAATAAAATAATCTAGAAGTTTGGGCATTTGACCCTAACTCCCATGTAAATGTTTCCAACAGCTGCATAGTTTTAGCATCAACATTATTTTAAAATGCACTGATCTTACAAGTAAGCTAGAATAGTCATGTATCACTACAGGCACAGATTTTACAGCCATGAGCAACTACAGCCAGTTGAGAGTCACATATTTTGTATCAATTGTTGACTGCCTTCATTAGAAAAAGCTACATTCCTTTTCTTTACTAAGCATGTCCATAAAAGAGTAAATGCTGGTACTTAAGGACATTTTCAGGTTTTGCCACAATAACATTTTACATGTTAATAGGTTGCCAATGTACATCTCCATACACAAGTTCCATAAGGGTATCAGAACTGGAAAGGGCCTTTTTTTTTTTTTTTTTTTTGCTGTAACATATTGAGGGCACAATCATATGGTCCATGGGAAGGTGTCGTAAAGTAGGATTTTGAGAATCTCTCCCCAGGCAGTCAACCCTCCCTGTAGCCACAGAAAGGAGCACTGCTGTTGCTCCCTCTACTACACACACCATTTGGCTAAATGCAGACATTTTAAATTAATTATTTCTACATGTATTACCACCACTTGAGCCAATTCAATCTACACAGTATCACAGCTGTCTTAGTCTGGCACATTCATGCTTTTTAGTGTAGTGGTCAGGATTCAAAGAAGTCACTCAGTCTGCTTCACATGCCTAAGGGGTTTGGGGATTGATGTTTCTAGAAGGGCAGCCTCTGGGCCGCTTGGCAAACTACTTTTAATGCTGATGCAAAATTACAGAAATTAATTTGAGATATATCTCAAGGGCCTGTTATTTGAGAGAGAGGGAACCAAAATCCCACTAGGACTAGCCCAATTGAAAGAAAGAGGTTGCAATCCAAAGAATGACCAACACATCTCACTAAAACCAGCAAACATGCAGTAGCTTCCAGTTAACAATGGAAAAATATTCATGGCATGTAATGTGCCTAATAATTGCCAGACATCTCTAAAAAAATTATCTTATCCCCCATATCCTTTATTAATCCCTTTGTCTGTTCCCATCTGAAGTTTGAGACAGAAGAACACTATCACACTGGAGTATCTTTGGGATGGAGATACCTGTGTCCAACAAGACACTAAACACATTCTAATTAGTACTGGAAGTTCCAGCACATACAGAGTAGGGACCAATTAGTTCTGTTAGCCTGACCCAGAGCAGAAACAAAACAGCTGAAACACTCCTTCTGTCTTTTTGTATCTGCCTTTTGTTAGGTGTATGGATTAGCATATTTGAGAGAATTGAAGCCTAGGCTAAAGAGTTCTGCATTTGGATAAGATACATTATGTGTGAAAACATTAAGACCTACCATTAAAATACTTCAGCTTTGAAAGGGGTGCTTTTTAAAAGTACCTTAGTCTAGGAAAAACAATATCTACTGAAGTGACGGGGAATGTTTAGTACTTGGTAATCCTTTATATGTAAATGCTACAGGGTTGGTGGAGGCAGGGTGGAATGCAGGCTGGCTCCCATTTGAAGACTTACTAGCATGGGTCCTGGTAAATGCCCAGTGTTCTTTAGTTTCCTTATGTTAGGGGTTCTCATTCTTATATAGGAGCAGGCAGCACTTAAACATTTCTATGTCCTCAAAAAAGTTCTCAGACTCTCTGAATTTCCTTAAAATACTGCTTATAAAAGGTTAATCTAATTCCAACACCTCACTTTATAAAGCAATTTTATTTTAATAATATTAAGATCAAGCTTTAGCCTACCAAGAATAATTCTACAGTATAATCAAATACCTCCATGGTGATAATGTGCAGCTATCCTATGTCTCATAAGTATTGGATTAAGTACTAAAAATTATTTGTATCGATTTATTGCAGGGTATCAACTTTTAGATGATTCAGCCCAGTATTTAAGGCTCTCAACGGTGAAAAGGATTTTAAAGAAACCCCAAACTGGCAAATAGTATCTAATTTCTTTCTGATGCTGTGTGTAATATTGCAGCAAGAAATCCTACTACTACTGCCATTACCATTTAAGGCCTACCATGTATAAAATACCAGATTTTGATATTGCTACCAGCCCTACATCACTTAAGGTAGAAAAGCTGTAAGAATTTCTGTTTGGCCTTATCTGTGTTTTGCCAAACCAGTTTACAACATAGTCAAAATAAATTGCATGGCACAAAGTTACTCGGACTGTACCATTTTAAACTCTGGACGGTATTGTACATTCAAATGTTCCTCAGAATGAACTGAAAAGGAATGAAACACCAACTTCTTGCTGCTTTCCATATACTGGGATGTGTTTAATTTTGTTTAATATGGGCAGCATATAAACACATGATGCAACACCTGCAGGAAGAACTGGTTAATTCCCAGAGTTTCATTCCACTTTATTCATCTGAATGTGTGAACTGTCTCAGAGTCAATGCTTCAGTGGGCCTGATAGACTGTAGCCAATAAATGAGTTTTCATTAAGAGTCAACTGATCAGAAGGGCCCCCCCAAATAATCTGCTGCTAAATTATACTACATCACACTGCAGGTGGGAAAATAAAATGTTTGAATACTTCACCTGTAGTTTGAACACTTCGCCTGCAACTTTAATGTAAGAGAATATAGCTCCCTACAGCTACAAAAGCTAGCAAACTTTTTATACATGGAGAAAAGATTCAACCATTTGATTCCCCCACCTGCAGTCTGAAGAGATACACTCCAGCAGAACATTCATCATGCGGGCCTCTAGCTGATAAGAGTGTGTCTTTGAGTGTGCCACTTCAAACATTCGCACATTATATGACACCTAGGAATTTCTACCATTTTGTGCTGACTGCAGAATGCAGTAAGCACAGAAATATTGTAGCTATAAAATCAAGACACACCGAACTCTTCCTTCTGAATATTTATACTCTCAAGTTTCTTCTATCTCACCCTAGCAAGCACAGAGTCTTACTTGTTCATGGCCGACATATAACCCAAATTAACCAGTTCTATAGAAATCATGGACTAATATAGAACAATTTCTATGATTAACCACAGCTCTGAAAGATTATTGCTATTCTGATTAGCTGCAACTCTTCAAATAAAAACTAAACCTATTGCCAAGGTTTTACTAAAGAAAAAAGAAAAAGAAAAAAGAAAAAAAAGGAAGGTACATGGAAGTAACTCCCAGGTGTTTATAATTCACAACCTAAACATCATTGCAGTACAACTAATATTTAGCAATACAGCTGGTTTCCTCTTTGTAAAGATCACTATGACCAATTTAACAATACACGAAACATAATTGAGCTTGGTGCTGTGGTTTAAACCACAGAGCCTAGAGCTTGCCGATCGGAAGGTTGGCAGCTTGAATCCCCGCAATGGGGTGAGCTCCCATTGTTTGGTCCCTGCTCCTGCCAACCTAGCAGTTCGAAAGCACACAGTGCAAGTAGATAAATAGGTACCGCTCCGGCGGGAAGGTAAACAGCATTTCTGTGCGCTGCTCTAGTTCACCAGAAGCATCTTAGTCATGCTGGCCACATGCCCCGGAAGCTGTACACCTGCTCCCTCGGCCAGTAAAGCAAGATGAGTGCCACAACCCTAGAGTCGTCCACGACTGGACCTAATGCTCAGGGGTCCCTTTACCTTTAAGAAGGCAATGGTTGGTATTTGTGTTTTTTGACCAAACAACCAACATTTGTTAAAATAGTCACCAACCCTGACTTACCCAGCATATGCTATAATCAACTTATCAAGCAGCATGATTTCAAGTTATATAATTACAATCACTCGGCCTTAATAAGAACAAAAATTATATTTAGTTAAACAAGCAAGAATATGATCACTTCAGGGCATCTGTGCAGCTCAGGAGCCCAATAATCCTTGAAAGTATAGGCCAAAGATTTCCCAGTGGGTAAAATTATTTACTCCATTCAAATGCATTTGAGGATCATGTGAAAATATGTTGCAACAAGTTTTGTTTTATTCCAAGTACCTTTCCTACAGTTTAATTGTGACACCTACAAGCAAAATGTATTCACCAGTAAAGAAAAATCACATGCTAATTTGCTTTCAGAGTAGATGTTTACATAATAAAACTGTATCAAAGAACTAAATGTTGTCTTCTCTGATATCTAGTATTGGGGAGGAAACAAGTCATTGTCCCTGCCCTAGATTTAGTGGCTCTGTGGGTTAAACCACTGTGCCGCTTGGGCTTGCCGATCGAAAGGTCGGTGGTTCAAACCCCCGGTCCCAGCTCCTGCCAACCTAGCAGTTCAAAAGCACGTCAAAGTGCAAGTAGATAAATAGGTACCACTCCGGCGGGAAGGTAAACGGCATTTCCGTGCACTGATCTGGTTTCACCAGAAGCAGCTTAGTCATGCTGGCCACATGACCCGGAAAAACTGTCTGCGGAAGCGGACAAATGCCGTCTCCCTTGGCCTGTAAAGCGAGATGAGCGCCACAACCCCCAAGTTGTTCGTGACTGGACTTAATTGTCAGGGGTCCCTTTACCTACTCTGGAGATCTCTGTTTCTTTTTAGGAAGACAATCCTACATTTAATGTTTACTGGACACCAAGCCAATGTGTCTGAAGCAAAACCAGAAGACTCCTAACAGCACAATCCTATGCATGTGTACTCCACTGTATTAAATGGAATTCAAAGGTATGTAAGTGTTGTTCCTATGTAAGTGTGCATAGCATTGCAACCTAAATATATATCAGATGCAAGATCTGTGCCAGGGGTAGGCAACCTAAGGCCCGGGGGCCAGATGCGGCCCAATCGCCTTCTCAATCCGGCCCGCGGACAGTCCGGGAATCAGCGTGTTTTTACATGAGTAGAATGTGCCCTTTTATTTAAAATGCATCTGTGGGTTATTTGTGGGGCCTGCCTGGTGTTTTTACATGAGTAGAATGTGTGCTTTTATTTAATATGCATCTCTGGGTTATTTGTGGGGCATAGGAATTCGTTCTTTTTTTTTTCTTTTCCAAAATATAGTTCGGCCCACCACATGGTCTGAGGGACGGTGGACCGGCCCACGGCTGAAAAAAGGTTGCTGACCCTGATCTATGCTTTCTAAACCTGGACTGTTATTTTCAATATTTAAAGTGGAGAATGTGAGGTCCTTTTGATCAACCCAACTGACTAAGAGACTCATCTGGCAAAAAGGAATTTGTCATATTATCCAAAGTGCCAGAAATTGTTTCCCCAAAAGTGGAATGCCCTCATGAGCCAATTTATGTGCTACCCCCCTACTTTTCTAACATACACAAACAGGCAACACAAAATGCTATTTACTAACCTCTTTTGCTATGTCATTCAAGGATGCTAATTAAAGCTGCTGATATAGTTGATGTGAACAGTTCAGGAGGTTGAGAAAAGGAGAAAATTCCTACTTGTGGAATTCTTCTAATTCTTGAACAGACCCAAGGATTCCTTGCTTAGAGCAAAACGTTATTTAACTTGAACCAATTTTAAAAAGGTTAAACCAAGAATTCAGCTAACTACTGATAAACTACAAAACATACTTTTAAAGAACCACCACATGTTTGCCCCAGATTGGGAACAAGAATATAAATGCTACCAGCTCACTAACTTTGGGCTAGTAAACTTAAATTTACAATTGTTAATCCACATTTACACACACAAGCTGCACAGATTACTCACCCAATTTCTAAGGTCCAAAAACTTGATTACACAAGACATTATACAAACATGTTTTCCCCAATTCAAATACTGTAAGTGGTTACAAATCTCCAGTGATAGGATCCAACCTTTTTATACTTTTCTGTATTATTCATCTGCTAATTTTTATTTGCTGGAGCCTTACACAGATTTGAGTGTCATTAAAAATGCTCAAAAAGTGTTCATAATGAATGAATATCTTTTATGCCAAAGGCGTAGCAAATGTAATTATGCAAAGGGGGGGGGGCAATTGTATTGGACTCCTGATGTTCTAATCAAGAGAATGAGAATAAAGGAGGGCTTGTAAGCTTAGTAATGGCAGCCCTGCTGTGGCAGAAATTTTGCTGATTTTCTACATTTAAATAGTAGGTTGAACTGGAAAGGATGACATGAGATAAATAAGTAAATGACAGTCCAATAGCCTTACTTATTTAATCATCTGAATCTCTGTGGAAGCAAGTAAACTCAAAGGTCAAGCTTCTCTTTCAAATTTGCCTAAAGATAGGAAAAGCTTAGTCATTTTAACTATAGGTAAAGAGCTGAAAGAAGTCCTTCATTCGCCAATAGTGTGTGTTTTTGTGTGTGTGGTATGAATAACATTTCGCCATACCTGGCATAGTAGTGAGAATTTTCTCTTTTAGATATTTTTAAAACTAGGCCATATTTATCACTACAGTACTTCCCTGGCCTATAAAAGCCTAATTACAAAGTCTCAGTTTTACACAGCTGCTACCATACTGAAAGTCAAATGAGATCTGTAATTTCATTTTCAACTATTTTTCCAAGCAAACATGCAATAATTTGCACCTTGATGCTGAACATACTGCTTGGAATTATACCACACTAATAGCAGTAGGACTTACTTTCAAGCAACACGATTAGGATCAGGGACGTGCTTTTCACTTTGATCTTGTACATATAGGAGACAAATAAAATCTTCAACCGTGCAATTTCATTGATGCAAAGTATAGCAACACTCTTAAGTAATGCAGCTAAGTGTTTGAGAGGCAGAGAGTTTTTCAAAGAAGCCCTAAATGAAACAAATGTGAAAGAATAGTGCAGAGTACCTTTTTTCCAGTCATATCGCCACCCCCTCGCCTTGCCAGTCTCCACCAAAACAAAGGAGATATTCCAAGCTACCCAATAGCTCTCCATCTGGAATCTAATGCAATTTCTGTTGAAGGAGTCAGTAGCAATCCTCTTAAAACCCCTATAAATATAGCTTCCCTTCACTATGGCACTTTTAAAGAACCACAAATTTATAAATAACACTGCTTAATTAAAACAAATCCAGGAAATGGCTTCCCATCTACTCTAAAATGGGTTACCATTATAAGATATGCTGTGTTTTGGAACAACAACATCAACCAGAAAACCCCAACATCTATAGGTCATGAAAAAGTTATTTATGTTGAAACTTTATAGAAAAGACACCCATACTTTAAAATATGTATGCTGTATATGTAACTTGGGAGGAAGTTTTCAGCACTGGTCTTTATTTCCTTTAAGGAAGAGCTATTCAGTGGACAATATAAAATCTTTTTTCCCCCTTTAAAGGGGACATTTAATGTTGCAATTTTGCCTCACATAGAATTTCCATAGAGACACGTACCAAAAATAAGACTTGTTTCTCAGCAAGAATCGTCAGCTGCCATTAAAGCCACACCTTAAAAAGTTCTTACCACACAGCAGCCAAGCAAGTACAAACTAGTGGTGGCTCTTTTCAGAGCCAAAAAATAAGCTGAGCTAAAAGTTGGGATGATTTGGTATTTTAACATCAGATCTTAAACAGCTGTGGTAAAGGCAGAAATATAAGCCATCTTTTTTTTTAAGGCTCTAGTAAATGCATGGTTTGTGTGTGCTTTTTTTTTAACACACAAGTGTAGTCTAACAACCTTTCACAGGAATATAAATATTTAACATTTAAACCTGACAACACAGCACTAAAAGATAAAATGCCTTCCTGCTAAGAGCAATAGTGCCTCAGAACTGGAAGGCAGCTGTTGTTCCCCTGCCTTCTCTTTTGTTGCACCTAATCTCATGTCAAGTCATTCAAGCAGCTCCAAAGCGATGAAGACATAATTGAATCAACCTTATACATTTTTATTTTATATTTAAAAAAACCCACTATTATCAAATAGCTATATGTACATGCTAAGTTTTTCCAAACAGGCTAACACTCTTCTTTCTCTCCAAAAAACAAAAAGAAATCCAATGCATGCACACATAACCACAATGAAACTGAAATCAACGACTCAAACTTTGCAGAAGGGAATATAACTTGGTATGTCAGATCAATCAATAGTCCACTGAAATATTTTCTCAGCTACAGCTGTTTGTTATGCATGATGATTATCTGAATAAAGCCTCAACAGTAGCATCACTTCAAGAAAAGCAAGGGAATTCTCCTCTCTCTCTTTCCCCCACCCCCAGATTTATTAACCATGCAACATATACATTTTAGTATTCTCTCAAGTGGGAGTTCTTAATAAAAAGAAGTAACTGATGTCCCATCACAAGCTGGCATGCCTATTGCACATCTTAAATACTGACTCATCAATTCACATAAAACTAGTGGGCGGGGGGGGGGGAGAGAAGAGAGGATCAAACTCCACCTACTTTCCCTCCCCCACCTCCAAAGAAAGCAGTTTAACCTACTTATGTGAGCCAATCCTTTCATGATGATCCAGAAAACAACTAATCATGAAGTCATAACATTTTTTTTTAAAAAAAAGGCATCTCAAGTCCCAAATCTACAGAAGACCCCCTGAAGTGTAACAAAACATGGCGAGAGAAAACATTTGCAAGCCATTGTTATAAGAGCACTGTGCTCAGATACCTTTGCAGACACAAAAACCAGCCCCTAGCTGCCAACAGAAGTGGTCAGCAAGTCAATGCCTGCTATTCAGTGTGTAGTTAGGCGTTTTATTTCTCTGCCTTCCTGATCATATCAGGCAAGCTTCTCAAGGCCTAATACATTGTGAAGAATGATATGACTCTTCTCTCCCCCCCCACGACATATTTGTAAGTGTGTTATTTCCTTCTGTTCCCTTCACATGCAGAAACTTCCCTTTTCACATTCTTCTGTAAAAGATTTCACTTCATCTACATGATTAAGTTCCTATTTCTGCTTTTGGCTATACGCTAGATTCTTTCTTCTACTCGCCCCTAAGCCCCCCCACCCTTTCCACCCATCAGAAGCGATGTGTATATTTTAGCTTTCAAGGTCATTTTAGGAAGGACAAAAAAATAACCACAAGGAACCTTTTCGTTTTGTTTTCCTTTGCAAACACTCCATCTGAACCACAATGCCGAAGTTATTCGAACATCCAAAAGCCCTTCAAGCTAGAAACCCAAGACAGAAATTTTGCTGGCCACCACTTCAGAAACTCTTTTTAACACTTCGATTCTGATACTCACAAGGCGATTCACACACAGCATATATTATAATGGGGGAGAGGAGGGGTGGGCACACGGGACTGCATGTCGAATGACTGCTTTTGGCGAATAGGTTTTTGTTTATTTCAACTGCAGAAATCCTAACACACCCAAAGTGAAGCCGATTAGCCAATAATTAATGTCTCCCCATATATAGGTAAGGTATCAGTATACGGAAGTCAGTTCACATCACCAAATACACTTTAATGAATTTGTATTCTCCTCCTCTCCTAGCAAAGTCTATTGTTGTTGAAGAGCCACAGCTCTTCCTTTTCCACTCCCCCTTTTTTTAAAAAAATTGTGTACACACACACACACACACACACACACACATATATATACTGTATACACACACACAATTTGAGGTGGGGGAGAAATAACTCTGCAACGCCCCGGGGCAGATTAGATTCCGCAGAAGCAGCATTCAAAATGAAACTGACAAAAACGGATCAATAAACTTTTCATTAGCAAATCTGAAGCCCCCCCTCCACCCGCGCACCCCCTCCCCAAACCATGAGCAAAACATATTGCAAACCTTTCCTCCAGGAACATCCCTGACTCACAAAGAAGATCCTTCCTCTTCCCCCCACCTCCTCCTCCTTAAGATCGACATATCGAGTATTGAAAACAAATACCTATGTCTCTAATGGAAGTTTCAAACCTCTACTTGGATGGCAGAGAAAGAAGGAAGGGAGAGAGAGAGAGAGAGGCTGCAAGCCAAAAGAGACGAGGCAGAAATCACACACAGCAAGAAGTTTAGAGGAAGCGAGGCTAATCTTCCCCTTCCTCATCTATTTATCTTCCTCCCTTTTGGTGGGTGGGAGGGGTGGAAAGAAAGAGGAAGAAATATAGCATAACGACGAGACCTTTAAAATGGGGTGCTTTTTTTGAGGGGGGGGGAGGGAGGTTTCTTTTACCTGCTGCTGATCTTCCTCTGCCTAGCGGTGGCTGTTGGTGGTGGTAGGAAGAAGATAAAAACTGACACAACAGGAGTTGCTGCGTTTGAATGAGAAAGAAGAGAGGGAGGAGGGATTCTTGTGGGAGGAGGAAGGAGGGCTATTGGGAGTTCGCTTTTTTTTTTTTTTTAAGGCTGGTTGCGTGAGCTACAGCCACACACACACACACACACACACACACACCTGATCCTTTTGGCTTTTCTCTTCCTGATACCATTTGGGGAAAAGGAGGATTTGGGAGAAAGGTTAAGGGAGGGCATTTCCCAACAAAAGTCATTGGAGGAGGAGAGATGCTGCAATGAGGGCACTGCTGGAAACCACCAGTCTTGAAAAGGGATGGGTGGGAGAAGAGTTAGGTGTATGCAAGCACACACCTGTCCACTTTTACTGGGGAGGGGGCGATTCCTCCCCAATTCAACGGCAGAGATGAATTAATGTGCCACCTTTTATGTCCCAGGGTTTAGCAAGGATGTGTATGAAAGGACATTTCATTTGCTTACTTTACATTAAACATGTATACACTGCCTTAGTTCCAAAAGGAATGAAAGAGGAACATGAAAACACAATCGCACACTAAAATACAGTGGTACCTCAGGTTAAGAACTTAATTCTTTCTGGAGGTCCGTTCTTAACCTGAAATTGTTCTTAATGTGAAGCACCACTTTAGCTAATGGGGCCTCCCGCTGCCACTGCGCCGCCAAAGCACGATTTCTGTTCTCATCCTGAAGCAAAGTTCTTAACCCAAGGTACTATTTCTGGGTTAGCGGACTCTGTAATCTGAAGCGTCTGTAACCTGAAGCGTATGTAACCTGAGGTACCACTGTACTGATTAAAGAGTACATACACATGATCATCCCGTTGCCATAGTTTTCTCTATTATTCCCTACAAAATTTCAGGAAAGGATTATGACCCCTCCCATATAAAATGCTTTTTAAAGTGTCTACATGCCCTCCTCAATTATTTTAAATTGTAAACATCATCATCATCATCATCTTATTTGTATGCCCCCTTTTCATAGTTAAAGCAATGCTCAAGGTGGCTTACAACATGACAAGATTTACATAGTTACCAACATAACAAAAGTCTTAAGCAATAAATAAAACACATCAAAAAGTACACAACCAAATGGAAAACACATAAATCATAAAATCTAAAACTAATAATATTCCTTGAAGCAAGGAATATTATTATTATTATTAAAATTAGTAAGCCACTTTTCCATGTAAATATGCTTACGAAAGAACAACTAAAATGAGAATCAATGCATCATTACCATAACAATCAAATACCAAGCCGTTTCAAAACTTATCTAGGATGCTGTTAAGCGCCATACCCACTGCCATGTCGCAAGGCTTTGCTGAGATCCGCTGAGGCCCTGTGTAGTGAACAGTCCTTGGCACAACTACTAAGACGTTTAAAAAAACAAACCGACAGAACACAATGGGATTTGTGGGTGCATGCGCCCAAAGGTTGCGGCCTAAACCCCTAATCCCATAACTCAACACCTCCTTCCAGAGATGCCTCGTTCCTCATCAAACACACTTGAGCAACAACAAAATAGTGGGATTATAACATATATTGAGGCACCAGGCAAAAAACGTTTCTGTATAACCTGGGCCTTTGGCTGAAAGAAATATTCTAAAGTCTTTTAAAGGTGTTTGTGGGAGGTAGGGGTGTGTGTGTGTGTGTTGGTTCGTTACACATTTTGTGTTATTTTGTATTTTGAAATTGCGACCTGCCCTGTGATCTTTGGATGAAGGGGCGGAATACAAATTTAATAAATGATGATGATGATAACAATTCCCCAACGCCAAGTGCCAGCTCTGAAGGCAGTAATTCTGTTATTTTAATCCCTCTGGATGGAAGCGGGAATCCTTAAAGCGCAGTCCTATCCCCGACTACTCAGATACAAACCCCATTGAGTTCAATGGCATTTACTCCCGGGGCAGTGGTTACAAAAGCGCGGCCTAACGTTTAGTGGTTTGCCCATGGGCACATCCTCTGGAGAAGGGGGGCAGCCTAGTCACCTTCGAGAGGAAAAATGACCCTCGAGCCATAATCCCATTCCCCCCCCAACAGCAAAATCCCACAGGGAAAGGGGCTATTTCAGTGGCCTTGCAGGTTCCCTTCACAGTGACTCGCCCAAGCTGAGGAGCTGGCGTGTCGCCATGGCGGCCCACTCGGCTAGGCCCAGCCTCGTCGTCTGCCCCGCAGAGGGCAGGGCGCTTCGGCCTCCCCGCAGCCCTCGCCTCGGGGCCTCCTCCGCTCTTCCCTTGCCCTCGTGGCGCCTCAGCCCCATCAGCTCGGAGGAGGGAAACGAGAGATAAGGCCGCCGCGGCCTGAGGAGATCAAGGCACACGCGCGCGCGCGCCAAGGAAGGCGGTTGGGCCTGAGGGCGGGAAGGAGAAGAAGGGGTTGTTGGCGATGGGGCTCTTTCATCTAGGGCGGAGAGGGGGGCATTTTAATAAAGTTTCCAGAGAGAGAGACCCCCCCTCCTTAGTCTGTTACAGCAAAAGACAACGAGGGGGCCTTGGGTGGGTGGCGGGGGGCACCTTAAAAGATTTAGCAAAATTTACCGTGGCGTCGGCTTCCGCAGGCTGCAGGTCGCTTCGCTTCTGCTGTGGGGATGCGGCGAGTCTCTCAGGCAAGACTAGTCGTGGCGATAAAGAAAAAAGCGTTATTACGAACCCCGAAACAAAGAAAAATGCGATTTATCTTCCTCCCCCCCTCCATAAATTTGAGGAGGGGTTTGGAGAGAAAATGTGTGGGTTTGTTTTGGGGGCCGGGCCAAAGATTTCAGACGTGGAATGAAGAACAAGGGAAGTGAGGAAGTTATGAGGCCAAGAAAAAATGCTTTCGGTTTAGCTTTGGGAGGCAGATACATTTGTTTTATACAGTATTGATTTACTGGTCAGTGTTGTCGCACTCCCCACTATGTGCAGTCACCCACCCACCCCTGAATCTGGCACATTGAGTTGTGCATGGGGCCGCACCCTCACAGGCTCACACCCTTGTGACATAAGTTAGGCCTGCTGTGGGGAACTGTTGCCTCCCAGATATTGCGGGTGGGTGGGTGGGGAATATTCCCTATTCATCTGTGAGGCCAAAAACTAGTGTTTTATTGGGCACTTATCCAGGTCATGGGGGTGGATCTTCCCAGCATTACCTGCAACCCTCTGGCTCTCTGATATATTATTTAATAGTTATAAAACTCTATTTAAGCATTTGAAATGCCTTGCATTATCTCGGTAAGGCAGGCTAGTATTATTATTTCCAAATGGCAGATGAGGTCCTCAGGTTGAGTGATAGAGATTTGTCTAATAGCGTGGCTTCATTTGCCTGAGCTGCAATATAATATCTCTCCCATGTTGGTCTCTATAGCCTCTACAATGCTGTAATTCGCCAGTGGTTTGACTTTACCCCGGATGGCGCACTCTTCCATTGCCTCCCGAGACAGAGGGATGGCAACCATGACTGGGGTGAGATTTGAACTCTGGACTGCCACATAAAGTGCAGCAAAACAAAATGCTATCACTGTATGGGGTGGTGCGTGTCTCTCAGTGCAGCTGAGAACCTAGCATGGTGCTGTTTAAAATTGGTGCATGTGAATCAAAAAAGGCACTGCTAGTACTTTTTTTAAATGTGTCCCTTTTTATTCAGTGCATTTTAAATGGTGTAAGAATTAATTTAAAAACAATGGAGGACCAACAAGAATAAAGGGACTTGAGCAACACGTAGGAGAAATAATGGTCACAACTGTGGTGAAGAGAATGGAGTTCTGTAATTTACTCCTTACTCTGACAATTTGGTCAGATAGAGCAGTACATTTCTAGAGCAGGCCATGCACTGGGCCTGAGGTGTTGTACCTCATCAATCAAAACAATAGCTTTCAAGGTTGCTTTGGAATAGTGACTAAGGTTATTAATAAAAGTTGAGTTGTTTCTTTATCAGTGCAAGTACATTTTGAGCAAACTCTTTTTCTCTCTGTGTATGTAAATTTCTTCTTTAAATAGTGAAGAGGACATTACTGTAAATTTTACTTTGTTTCTTCTATCTGACTTCCTTTGGCATAGTTTCGGTTAACAGGCACCCAACAACTGCAGCATTCTGTAAATTTGAAATAATAGGTATTGTTGTTTTGCTCTGTCCTCCAAGGCTACTGGAGCAACAATAAACAGCAGCTGTGCAGTTTTGGAAGACTGTGTTTTACATTAATGTTGTATCCAACACTGTTACTTTACCTATTGGAATCTTGGAAGTGTGGCAGTCAGGCTGCATTTATTTAGAATACATTAACTCTTTCCCACACATATCAATATAAGGATGAAACAAAAAGAGCAAAGACAGATATTTTCCTGATGACTGCCTAGCTTTAGATCTTTGAACACACGTCTACCCACTCAGTAACGTGAGGCTGCACTTTAAAAGAATAAGCTGGTATTTGTGCTGTACTCTTCCCGTTTTTCCAGCAGCCCATCCCCATACATTTTTCCCAGCCAGGCTCACTTCTGGCATTAGAAGCTACAAGGCCAGAGCTCAGATAGGCAGATAGAAGCTGTTTTGATGCACCAAAAATACATCTGTGCTTTCCAGCTGTATTCTAGCAAGAGCTGTTTGATAATGGCATGAACTTACTTGGGAGGTTGTGTACTCCCCTTCATTGGAGGTTTTTAAGCAGAGGACAGATGGTCATCTGTCAGGGATTCTTTAGTTGTGACTCCTGCATTGCAGGGGGTTGGACTAGCTGATCCTTGGTATCCCTTCCAACTCTACAGTTCTAGGGTGATGATGATATAGATGCTATGCTGCCTCAGGACTGCTGTGGTAAGTATAGAAATATTTGTGGTATAAAAATGTTTTAATAAAAAATAAGCAAATAAGGCACTTTGCTCCCAGTTCCACATAGAGAAGCCTGCCAGACTGGCAGCTGAACTGTATAGTGGTACCTCAGGTTACAGACGCTTCAGGATATGTGATTCCGGGTTGAAAAATTAGTGGCATTCCTTTGGCATTTCCCCTCCAGACCAACTTGAATCCAAATTAGAACTAAAGAATGACCTGGCTATGTTTTAAGCCAGTAATGTGTACACAGCCTATGTACCCTGCATATTAAAGCACATTATCCTCTTTGGCAACCTTCTCTGTGCAACCAGGTCACTGGCACTGGCTGAGTGTGCATGTTTTGTCTGCACTGGAATGTCGTCTCCAAGCACCTCACGATAGGCTTCCCCCCCTAGAAATGAATGTCATCCATTAATTTCTAATGGATAACGTGCACACTCAGAGTCATCGTGAGGTTTTGCTAATGTACTGTGATGTAACAGAATTCAGTGGGAATTTCTCAGATCTGAGCCAACTCTCTGAGCAGAACTCCACCCTGTCACCTGCTTATCCCTGGTCCAGGTTGTTTCTTAACAGTGTTACCAGATACATAACAATTCCTGTTCATATATAAGACTGTTTGATTGATTGATGCCCTGCTCTTCAGCCAAAAGGGCACCTAGAGTCTATTGCAAGACAGTCCCTGTTCTCAGCTTTGCATTTCAGATGACACAACAAAAACGGAAAAAGGGATGTGGAGGGAGGAGGGAGGAGGAAGAAAGCAATCTCAGACACCCATTATCAGAATTTCAGTTCTCATAAGGACTAGCCGCAATGGAAACGTCTTGTTGAGGAATAGCTGCAGGCAGATGGTCTCTTAGCACAATTATTCAGGGCTTCTTAGTGAAAAAAGCAGCACAGAAGGAATTTCCTTTTGTGTACAGGAAGACTCAGGCAAGATCATTGCATGGGAGAATGTGCTGGAGACTTGTTATTTTTTCCTAGTTTGCTACTGACATTGCCCCAAGCAGGGACAAAGGAGAGTTCTGATCCTGTGTTCTTTCTCCTCTAACCACCCACAATATTTACATTCCACTCTTTAGTGGAGGAAAAAGTTCACAAAAGATGAATTTAAAATTAGCATAAAAAACCTAAAAAGAATACATAAAAACCAGAATTTGGTGTATGTAAGACAACAGCAAACAGCAAACCCTTAACACACTATGCTCCCCAAGTATCCAATGGATTTTAAATTATATATACATTTGCCTCTGTTTGAAAAACAGCAAAAGAAAAAGAGAAGTGGACCTTCTGTGGGTCACCACTGAGAAAGCCCTACAGCGGAGAGCAGAATGTAGATCAAAATCTACTGCTAGAGTTCTGGGAGCTTTGCAGTAGATCAGCAAGGGATTTGCAGTAGATCTAGCAGCACTGCTAGGGAAGTGATGAATGAGAAGTTAAAGTCCCCACCCCCACCCACAGAGAGATATAAAAGAGCATAGGAGGAGGAGAATCTTTAAACTATTTAGGTGCAGGGAGCAGCTTGTGGCCACAAAGAGGAGGGGGATAGAAGGAAACTAAAGTTGGTGAGTGAGTGTGTATGAGGTTCTAGCTATCAGAAAACAAGAATCTGTAGGCTTTGGGATAAATATCTAATATCAGTAATCTGGCAACACTGGAGTGTGACAGCATCTTGGGTGATAAAGAATGTGAGAAAGAGAGAATGCTGGGAACTGCAATTATGTAGACAGATAAGAGTACTCCCCTGAATTTGGGAGGACTGCCTTGGACTAACAACAGCACTAAACCATGCAGTATGAGAAGCTGCACAGGGCACAGGCAGGGGCTATGATTGAGGCACAACCATGTACCCTCAGACAGGAACAAAAGGAGCCTGTGTGACTCAGTAAAAAAGGGAACCATTTTATATCCTTAGCTTTGAGATCAACACAGCGCTCATCCTTGTAACCACTATGCAATGTTTTCCATAGTATCCCTGCCCTGTTCCTGCAAATACAGTTTATCATTCCATTAGCAATTTATAACTAGTGTCAACTAAGCATTGCATAGCCTTTGCCTGCTTGCTTTTGGAGGTTAAAATGTGAGTTAAGGAGAAACTCGGAAGCTTCAGGGTTATCCTTTGTCAAGTTGTAGCTTGGGCACGCTACAGATTGCACCATGGAAACCTTGTTTATGCTTTCATATCTTTACATAGACTCAAAACTCAGAAGACACACATAATTTTGATCACTTGGGTAGTGTGGTGTAAACGAATGCTGCTGTTAGTAGTACTATGCAAATGGAATGTGTTGTTCACTGGGGATTAAACCTGACATACCTGTTCTTGGAAAACTGTATTCAGCTTTGAATCACCATTCAGAGTGGTCAGTAGGAAGTGTCAGGCAAACCCCACATAATTTTACTATCTCACTTATATACTTTTCCCTTTTAAGTTTTAGCTCATGGATTCATGAGATTCTTGGCTTTCATGCAGCTTAAAGACTCAAGGTTGTTGCATTCCTGACTGAGGAAACAAATTTGGAAATATTGTTTAAAATCTGTATGTTTCATCATGTATTTTAGGAAGGGATGGTGTTTTCCCAGGTTCTTTAATGTTGGATAGTGACAGTCCTGGGCTGAGGGTGCATTCATTAATTTTGCTGGTTGGGTATTTTGGTAGAAAACAGAAGCTAGTTTTACAAGTTCTTACAAAATAAAATGTAGTTCCATTAAAACAGATGAAAAACATTATGGTGACTGACGTATTTTAGTACGCCATCCCAATCTCTGAGCAGTGTGTGATTCCAAGGGTTCCAGGTGCGTTCCTGGGGGTTGTGTTTCCTTTTGGGAATGAGGCACAGAGAAGACTGGTGTCCTTATGATGGTTTATTTACACATATATACAATCTGAGCCTGCGATGTAGGGGCTCATAGTATTAAAATGCCGAAAGGATATTGTTTCTCCCATAGCCACGGTCTTGGATTCAAGCAGAAATCAGCCATGACTCGCTCTCTGCATTTACAGCCCGCAGTTTTCTCCTCTAGATCACATCACACATACTCTGGCTTTTGACCTTCTCACTATATTTATTGCTAAATAAATATATATAATTCAACCAGTCTTCCAACAGGTATTGAAGTGTAAGTTCCTTTATGAAAATGAGCAGGACCCCAGCTATCTAAAGGACACAAGTTCAGAGCTACATATGGCAAGCCACCACATATCTTTAAGGAGTTTCTAGGATGAAGAGTCCCCTCTGCTCATGCTTTGCTGTTTAATAAAATATGCAATTTACATATTCAGAAGTTAGGGGATTTTGTTAATACACGCTTAAAATATATTACAGATATCACATTGATGCAATAATTAGTCCTATTTGGTGGTATTCAACTAAGTTTTACCCAGAGCAGACCCCATAAGGTCGTTAGGTTCATTAATTTCAATAGGTCCACTCTTGAGTAAAACTTAGTTGAATACCACCCATTATGTTTTGCTGATTGGTTCCATTAGTCATGGAGATGTACAGGGCTCCATAGTTCTGCTCATTTTAATACATGAGAGGCATCAATATGTACAAATATGCTAGTTCTCTTGCTTTCCTTTTGTATCCACCTTTTAACAGTTGTTGCAGCAACTTATTTCTTCAGTATAAATAAAAACTATGCACAGAAGGGACAGAGAGGGTAAACTTTGTGCTGTTATTTGTCAGATCAGCCCACCACTTCCAACTTAAAACAACAAGCCAGGAGAGTAGAACAGTACTGTAGCTTAAGGGCTGGGAGAAACTTCTTATCTGTCCTGCTTACTAATAGGTATTTTAAATTACTACTTGCCCTTTTCAGATTATACATAAGTACAATAAGTGCATATGTGAATTTTAGTTTATAGTTTGAAAGATCAAAGGAAATTTAATTACTTATATTAGTATATTTATATAGAATGTAATGACATTCTGAAGTGTTTCACAGGGATTAAACAAATCATGTTCCTGGAAAAAAAGGTTTTCCCTCTCCTCTCCTCCCCTTAAGGTTTATATGTATACGGTATTAGTAAAAGTATTGTTTAAATACTAGTAGTGCAAGTTGTATACCTTTCTTATTGCCTATGTAATCACAGGTTGTTGCCCATTGTCAGGATTTTCTTTTTAAAAAAGTATAATTAAAAAATAGTATTAAAGTGCTAACTTACACATTACATAGGGTAGCAAAATTAGGTGGGGGGGTCAAATATTTTAACAAATAAGTAACTTGCCTAAGGGTCCTCTAAAACTGGGATAAAAGCGAATGCGATAAAACTGTAAATGGAATATGCTTAAGTATTAATACTGATTTGGAACTGGTATTGCTCCTTACTTTGCAAATCCTAAGTGAGGCTGCTGAGCACTTCCAAAGTTTTGCCAGCTGGCACTGACCAGAACTTCCACCCACCCATTTCCCCCGAGCCACTAGTTTCAGGGAGGTGGGTGTTTATACCATTTCCAGGCTGATGTGGATGGTAGGGGGTAGGCTCTGATACTGGGGACTCGCCAGAGAACCCCACTTCTGTCCCACCTACCATAAGACCACATTACAAAGCCTAATGCCAGCTACCACTGGTACTAAAGCGAAGCTCAGGGAGCTTCTCTCTGCTAGTTATGGGGCATTTCTGCACAATCCTGATTGCCTCCAGCCAGCATATCTGGGGGTTAGGATTGTTCTGATAGGAACACTAAATGTCACAGTGTGCCTGTGTGCGCACTCTTTATATATTAAATATAAGACCATTATTGTAAAA